TCATAAGCATCGGCTGGCCGAGAGTACAGAGCCCCCACCTTCCAGTTATCAATACATGGCTAAGACTTCCCCCTGTTCTTCCTCTCACACTCCCCCATCCCAGTGACTACTGGGAAATGGCTTTTAGTTACAGCGTTATGGCCAGAAATCCAGTAACTCTAAAAGATAAGAAGTATTTTACTATCTCACCTAAAAAAGTTAGCGATTTCTTAGTATTGTGGACTATCCAGTACTCCACTGACCTATTTAACCCTCCGTGACTCCTAGTGGGTGCTCTTGAAACCGACCCATTCATTGGTTACTTCTGCTGGAAGGAGGAGAAGGTGTGGGTTAAACAGTTTTATGAGTGCCCGTGTTTGCTTGAATCTTATCCTTCTGAGCCTGTTTTTGTTGTTGTTGTTGTTGCTGCTTTGCTTTGCTTTGCTTTTGCCTATAAAACCCAATTTCTGGCTCAGAGGATAAGCGTCCCTGCAGCATAAGCGTGAGGGCCCACGTTCAAATCACAACAAGTCAGAATGCGAGCGGTCAGGCATGGACCTTCCTGTGGCTCCTCAGGGTAAAATCAGGTGGCCAGGCTTGAGCGGGCGAGTGCCTTTACTTCCTGAGCCTCCTCACCGGCCCCACTCAACCTCTTGCGCTCCCCTCCGGAAGCTTTCTTCCTTTAGTACAGTTACCGCAGACTGAGGTAGAGTGAGGCCGAAATGGAAAGACACCCCCGGTGCCCCCTCCACCGTGCAGTCATCTGGAATCATCCGAGGACAGCGTTGTCTTTGTAGCCGAAATACTTGCTTTTAAGTTTCTAGCGGTCCTCCTGGCAGCCTCTCCTCACTGTGTCTAGAGACTGGTAGACCGATCCGTCATTTTTCTGGGGTAAAAGTTAAAAAAAAAAAAAAAAAAAAAAAAGAGACTCTAGACTCCATCTTCTGGGCAGTTTGATTCTTTCCCAAGGTAAAGAAGTCCTGCAAATTTTAACCAATCACAGAAAGATAGTTAATTTCTTTTTTTTTTTTTTCGGTATTTTTAAATAACTTATTTATTTTGCTTCTATGTACATTTGTGTTTTGCCTGCATGCATGTCTGTGTGAGGGGGTCTGAGTTACAGACAGTTGTGAGCTGCCGTATAGGTACTGGGTCTTGAACCCGGGACCTCTGGAGGAAAAGTCCTCGTAACCACAGAGCCATCTCTTCAGCTCCTCCCCGCCACCCCTGTGTTTCAACCTCTAGCAGTTTCTTTTTACTCCCCTGCCAAGGGTACTCCATCTCATCTCTTCCGTCTTCATGTGATTGTTTACAAACTGCAAAAGATATACCCCAAGAATTCTCTGTTCCTCTTGAAGCAAAAAAGAGAATCATCCTCTTTTTTTTTTTTTTTTTTTTTGCCAGGAATGAGGGAGAGGAAGAAAAGTCAGAGAGCAAGTTTTTTTCCCATAGCTTATAAACGAATTCTTTTTATTCTCTAGTCATTTCCCGGTCCTAGGTCTAACATCATCTCCTTAGTCGAGAGGTTCAGCAAGGATGAAACCCTTTTTGACAGGTTCAACTCCCTTTCTATGAGCAAGCCCTGGTGTTTGATGTTCGCCTTCAGTGTTACACGGACTGCATGCCTCGCGCTCGTTCAGAGCCCCAACCTTAGCATCCCATCCCGTGTGAAAGGCGGTGCACTCAGGGCAGGGAGTCAAGGAGAGATCCACACTTCCTTTCAGATTTCTTAGTCACGGAAGGAATCCTTAGGATAATTTTAAATTAAATTTGTCTGGAATTTCTGTCTTGCACTCGTAAAACTCTAGGCGGGCTCTGACAATTTACAGATCTTTATATTTGTAAGTATTAAGTACTGATGAAAATACAAGCTCTAATTCTGGGGGCTGGAGAGGTGGCTCAGAAGTCAAGAGCACTGGCTGCTCTTCCAGAGGTCCTGGGTCTAGTTCCCAGCTCCCACACGGCAACTCACTGTAACTCCAGTTCCAGTGCTTCTGGCCCCCTCAGACAGACACACATGCAGGCAAAACACCAGGGCACATAAAGTAAGAATAAATCAACCAGTTAAAAAAAAAATAAAATCTTTAATTCTAAAAGAAGAAGAAGAAGAAGTAGTGGTAGTTTTTGTGAGGCATGGTTGCACAAGCACCAGACAGGAGGCCACTGGGGTTTGTTGAACCCCAGCCTAGCTCCAAGATCAGCGAGAGACCCAAAGATGGAGCGTGATAGACCAGGACAAAAAGATCCTCCTCTCCCGTCTACAAGCATGTGTGCACAATCTCTCTCTCTCTCACACACACACATACACATATACACACACACACAGACACACACACACACACACACACACATAGAGGTGGGGGAAAGTTCAATCTAATTTTACTAAACAAATCTCATGGAGTGCCTACTCTGTATCTAACCATCCCTGCCCTTAGAAACTTCTGGAAAGATGATTGACTCTTCAGAGAATGGACATGAGTCGCCCAGGGGTCTGAGAGAAGGAGAGCACCTCGCAGAGGCAGCAGCGAGGACAGAAGCCAAGGCCTATGTTCCTCTAGGAGTGTGAGGGGACAGATGGTGAAACAGGAGGCCCCCTGAGGAGGACTTGCCCACCTCGGGCACTGTGCTATGGATTGTGAGGGAGGAAACCATTTGCCACTTGGGGATGTCAAGGCTTCAGGGCAGCCAATCAAACTAAGGGCTAGATAGCCCCTGGACCAGTAAATGATGGCTGTGAGTACAGACACAGAGTGGCCCAGTGCCGACACAGCAGGCTAGCCAGGTAAGAGCCAGGAAGCTAATGACATTCATCCCTTCCTTCAGTCAAGCCTTTTCCTTCCTTCTTTGAGTGGCTTAGTCATCCAAGCTTCCTGGGGAGATTAATGGGAATCAGAAGGAATCCAATCCCATAAGCCCTGGTCTGTGGCATCTTCTCTAACTTACTAAGGATGCAGTTTTTAAGTATATGGTACTTCCTGTTTCTTTTGTTCTGCTTGTTAAGACAGGGAAAAATCAAGGATGGTGATATGGGGAAGAGCTTCTAGCCATTGGGAGCCAGCCTGGTCTTGGAAAGTGGAGGCAAAAGGATGAGGGGTTCAAGGCCAGCATGAGTTTTCTCGTGCTTCAGAACAATATGGGTGTAGTGGCTCATGCCTGTATCCCAGCATGTGGAAAGCTGAGGTGTAAAGATCATGTATGAGTTTGAGACAGCCTAGACTATACACTGAGTTCAAGGCCAACCCAAGCTACTAAGTGAAACCCCGTCTCAAAAACCCGGGGCAGGTGAGACGGATCAGGGGTAAAAGCGTTAGCCATGAAAGCCTGATGACCTGAGTCCAGGGCCTGGAACCCACAGTAGGAGGAAACCCATTGCCAAAAGCCGTCACTTGACCTCCACTCACATCCTGTGGTATGAGCAGGCGCGTGCTCAAAGACCCACACGTCATATACACACGCACAGTGAGGACACATTAAACAGACGTAGAAAAGTGACTTTTTAATGTTTAGTTTTAAAGAAAAAGTATAACATTTTTAAAAAGAAGACGAGGCATGCTCCTCAAGCTCCCCAGTTCCTGTGCACGGGAGGAAGACTTTCCTTAGCTGCCTGAGGCCTGGAGAATGGATTGCGTCAGGCCAGAGAAGCAGCTCCTGCCCCTTGCTGTGCGGTCCAGTGACTCACCTCCTTACCCTCGGGCTGTCTAGAACCCGAGCGCTGCCAAGGAGCTGTGGGCTGCTGTCTGAAGGAATGAAATTCTGAGCGCTAAGGGGACTGGGAAGCCGAGACTACTCAAGACTTGGAAGAAACCCAGGGCAGAGCTCCTCTGGGGTAACAGTGGGGTACCAGGCTTGTTGGGGAAAGCGTTGTGAGTTGTCACGTTCTATAGCCCGGTTATTGTGGTCTTCTAGTGGGGCACAGGACACATGTGTCTGCATATTCCCAGTCACAGAGCTTCAGCGGTTGGGTTACTGGAAGAGAGCATTAGCCCGGATTTAAGCAAGGCTGTGTCCCAGCAGCCCTCTGGACTGCCCACTTCCTGACTTCTCCATCTCTTCCCTTCTAGTCCTGGACGCACAACATCCAGAGAGAAAAAGAGTTCCTGCGGAAGCTAGTGAAAGCGCGCGTCATCACTGACTTAAGCAGTGGCATCTGAGTGGGCCCAGCACTGGGCCAGAGAGGCTCACGCCAGGAACAAGCAGCTGCCACCTGCACAGGAGTCTTCCAACCCAGAGAAGGACAGTGCCAAGGGGCCCAAGGGCCAGGGAGGGCCTTGGCAAGGCAACCAGAGCTCTGCCTGCTTACAGGCCGGCCTCAGAGACCAGCACTCTGCCTCGCAGCCTGGGTCGGTGAAGCCAGAGGGCCAGGAGGCCACTGGCTGCGGCCAGCAGGCCCAGCATGGAGGAGGTGGGACATGCGGTAGCAGGAGTGTGCTGGAATCATTTCTCTAATCAGTGTTTGGTGTATTATCATTTTGTGAACTTGGGTGTGGGGAGGGGAGGGATAATTTATTTTTAAATAAGATGTCACCTTCGGTCCACTTGTTGTGCAGAAAGAGGTCCACTAGAGGGCCCATCAGGCAGTGGCACCGGTGAGCTCCCTGAAGGATGGAAGTGGCAAGACCATGCTTCAGGGCCACAGGGAGGTGGGTGGCATGGCATGTCAGCCATCTCCAGCTCATGACACTCTTTGGCCTTCCCTGGGGAGAAGATGGAGTACTCCCTCTCACCAGGCCCCAATGTCCCACAGGGGAACCCCAGAGCCATCCCTTTAAAGCCAACAGGAACAGCTCTTGGACAAGAGCAGAGAGAACTCAGGAGGCAAAGCCCAGCCCAGCCTGAGGAGAACGGCTCCCCTCCATAGCTGTCCCTGACCCATGGGGCAATGCTCCTTCTTGGACTGAGCAACTGTCAGATGGTCTGGGCTTCTCGATGAGACTGCCAGCTCCATGGGTCCTACCCACGACCAGAGGGGAGTGAGGTTCAAGGACCCTACCCAGGCTGCAGCAGCCATCCCAGGCAACCATCACGGAAGCAATAAAGCTCTCCCTTGAATATGGCCTCCTGTTGTTTTCTCTAATTTTTCTGGAAGAAACAGAAACTTCACTCAACTCCAGGGTCTTCTCTCCAGCCCACGGGTTCCCGGGTCCCTTTCACTTTGCATGTTAAGGGTAGGACCTTTGAGTCCTCCAGCTCCCTGGTTAAGGGTATTTGCTGCTCTTGCGGAGGACGCAGGTTCAGGTCCCGGCACCCACACGGGAGCTCACAATCACCTGTAACTCCAGTTCCGGGAGATCTGATGCCCTTTTCTGGCCTCTCGAGCTCCTGTGGTATATATACACTCGGACACACAAACATACAAAAATTAGCATATTAAAAGAAAAGTGGAGCCAGGTACTGTGGCACACACCTGTAATCCCAACACTCTGGGAGGCAGAGGCAGGCAGATCTCTGTGAATTCAAGGCCAGCCTGGTCTACAAAGCAAATCCAGGACAGCTAAAGTTACACAGAGAAACCCTGTCTCGAAAAACCAAATAAATAAATTAAAAAAAAAAAAAAAAGCGGAAGAGGCCCACAGAGTACAGAGAAATCCATAGACCTCTTTTCCACTACCATCATCCATGGTTCCACTTAGAAATGGATCCGACCCACTCCCCATTAGCAGTCCCCCTCTTTTCAACAGGAAGCAGGGACACCCCCCTCAACCTAACCTTAGGTACCCTGGGACTTTAGAAAGGAGATCCCTGCCCCATTTCACCCCCTTAGAGCTCTGGAATCTGACCCCTTTAAGAGCAACCCCAGGTAGGTCTGAGAAGGCTCAGTGGTTATGTCCTGCCCTGTAATCATGGAGGTAGCTTCCTGCCAGACACTGGCCTCTGTGGTAGTAAGTGGGACAGCTGTCCCCAGGCCTCTCCTACCTCAACCAATCCCAGTAAGCCCCCTGGTAAACCACCTAAAGGCAGAGAGGCTTGGCCGTCCCGAGAACACAATGCTCCCATATGTAGCCTCAGCTACAAGCCTGTCAGTGGTAGCCCCAGCTGCAAAACAAAAAAAAACAACCCTGAATACAGCAGCCCCCCCACCCCCCTAGTCTCTCCCCCCACGGAGTCCTATGGAACCCTCACAGGCAGCAGCACTCTGCAGTCCGGCTTCAGCATCAAGCACTGCACAAGACTGCTTTCTCAAAAGCTGTGGTCACGGACCCTGGCTGTATGCCAGAATCAGCCGTGAAGACCTGGGAAACTGCACTGCCCACCCCAAGACTGATTCAGATCTGGGATGGGGCCCGGATGTGGGTAGTTTTTAAAGGTCCACAAAGGTGCGGAAACATACTGCCAGCTCCACGGGTCCGACCATCACGGAAGCAATAAAGCTCTCCCTTGAATATGGCCTCCTGTTGTTTTCTCTAATTTTTCTGGAAGAAACAAACTTCACTCAACTCCAAGGTCTTCTCTCCAGCCCACGGGTTCCCGGGTCCCTTTCACTTTGCATGTTAAGGGTAGGACCTTTGAGTCCTCCAGCTCCCTGGTTAAGGGTATTTGCTGCTCTTGCGGAGCACCCACACGGGGGCTCACAATCACCTGTAACTCCAGTTACAGTTACGGGGATCTTATGCCCTTTTCTGCTATCATCTGGTATGTATGGACTGTGGTACATCTACCCCATTCACAGCCCCGGGGCACCCTCCCTCACTCCCCACATCTAGTTATCCGTGTTTTGATTAACAAATACCGAATTACCACCACTAGCCCAAGTGCCTCCTTTGCAGGGCGTTTCCAGCAGGAGTCCACACAACTTCTAACTCAGCATGTCCAACACTGAATTCGTATGTTGTCCCCCCCCAACACACACACATCTGAACCTCTCCCAGGGAGTGCCAGGTCCTAGAATTCATCCTGTTGTCCCCCAGGCCAAAGCTAAAGGTACACACCTCTGTCCACCATAGCACCTCACTTCGTCCAGTCAGGCAAAGGGAAATATTGGGGATTGCGGCCCTGCAGCCCCTAGCTCTCTACAACCCTACTCAGGATTTATCCTGTCACCCTCCAGCAGCCTGCACCCTTTTTCTGCTTTGCTTGTCTCAAAACCCCACACTCCCTAGAGCAGTCATTTAGCTAAAAGGCACGTTGAGGTGGTTTGGTCCCCAGGATCTTGGTTAGTAGCACCTTTCCGTTCTGCCATCAACCAAGCCCCAGGCTCTTGTCAAATCGCCTTATCTCACCTCAAACTCCAGTTCAACCTTCTGTGACCCTCCAAGTCTTCACCCTCGGTCCCGCGCACCGCACGCTATCATCGCCTTCACAGGGTGTGCGTGCGTCCCTCTGGGCCCCGAGGCCCTGAAACTGAGCCGGAAACAGACTATGCTTGGACCGTGGGAGCACAGTGCAGAGCCCTGCTGGGTCCGAGGCAGCGGAGCTTCCCGGGGTCCCGGAGCCACTAGCTGACCGCGCAAGGTAGCTAGCCGGAACCCCCATGTCTGCGCGGCCCAAGCTGGATCTCTCCTCCAGGCTGCCCCTCCTTTGCCTCCCTCCCTCGCTCTCTCCCGCCCTCGGCCAGGCCTCCCAGTTCCCTACTTTGCGTGTCTACCAAGTTCGAATTCCCAGTTTCGGCGCTTCGCTGCCGCCCGATCTCTACTCTGCCTCCTGGGGTCTTCTCCCAGTACCTAGCCCCCACCTAGGGGGACCTAAGTGAACCAGCGAAGACCGGATCCGGAGGGTGGAGCGGCCAGGTGAGCCCTGAAAGGTGGGGCGGGGCGGGGGCGCTCTGGGCCCCACCCCGGGATCTGGTGACGCCGGGGCTGGAATTTGACACCGGACGGTGGCGGGCAGGAGGCTGCTGAGGGATGGAGTTGGGCTCGGCCCCCAGACGCGGCCCGCGGGCTCTGCCAGCAACGAGTCCCTCGGGCCCCAGCCCTCGCTGCGACTGGGGCTCGGAGCCCCGCAGCCGAGGTAAGCCAGCCCTCTTGCCCATCCCCTTGATAGACGCTCCCAGTGCTGGAGAAGGAGCAGAAAGGTCTTCCTCCCCCTTTTCTCTCAGCCTCTCTCTTCTGGGCCCTCAGCGCAGCTCTATGCCCCTCCCAGCCACTCCAGTTCGTCTTGCCCCTAGCCTGTTGGACTGTCTTAGCCCTCCTGGCTGGCTGTAATGTGAGGCTCACGCTGCCGCCACAGGGCACAGACCGGCTGCCAGGGCCCTACTTTTGAATAAAAGAGGCGCTGCCAGGTGCACAGCTCCGGGCATGATCCAGCTGAACTTCGGGGGAAAGGCCAGCATTGGTTCCAGGACAGGTGCCTAGAAGGACACGGTGCAGGACCCCCGTGGTGAGTATAGGGCTGGTGGAAAGGGGTGGCAAGGGCTGGAGGACCAAACATCCCAGATGGTAAGAAAGGAGAGGTGGTCCGAATTGCCCTCGAGGGCCTTGCTCCTGGGCTCCCCCTAGCGCAGGTACCCCTAACTCTGCCTTGCCTGGCTTTCCCTCCATCTGGGAGAGCACTAACCAGCCTGGTCTCTAGGGATCTGAATCTAGTCAGCCAACAGGTGCACGCTTAACCTTGGAGGACCACTTTCTGGATAAAGGCCTGGGAGGTATGTGTTGAGTCCTGGAGTCGGTGTGTATATGTGTGTGTGTGTGGTCCCCCACCCCACCCCCACCCCAGTGTATTCTGTGTGCTCGCAGAAGGATGGAGGGTAACATCTGGGACCCAGAGGAAACCAGCTAATGAGGACTCTTAAACGTTTTGGGGTCCCCAGAGCAGTGGCTCACAAAGACTGGCGATGTCCAGCAAAGCCGGCTGGGGTCAGGAAGGATGGCTCATGACAGAAACTCCTAGGAGCAAGCCTAGGGTGTCAGATGCACAGAAGGCAGATGGCTCAGACTTGGGTCAGCTCTGAGTGGCGCGGCCCCCTGAGACCAGGTTGGCGTGGCCCTCTGGGGCCAGGTTGGTGTGGCGGTCGAGCTGTTCCTCCTGGGAGTGGCTCAGACCTGAAAGTGCAGAGGATGTGGAAAAGACCCCCTCCCCTTAAGTCTGCAGGCTTGACAAACTCTGCCCCCTGGTGGCCACAGGAAACCATGGTCCAGGTCCTGTGTTCTCAGAAGGACCATCATTTCCCCAGATAATAGACAGGCTCTTGGGGGACACCTGTGGGCCCAAGAGAGAACTCAGGTCCAGAACCGAGATTGCAGGAAGCCTAAGCTCCCAGTCATCAAATGAGTCACCAACTGACCCGCTAACTCTCCAGGTCTCAGCTTCCTCCCCTGAGGTATGGAGTGAAGGCTGAGTGGGAGCCTTTACTCAAGGAGCCCCGTTACTATTTTCTCCAGCCACCCTGGTACCTTCAGCCCCGAAGTACAGAGTAGAAGGGTCTCAGAAAACAAGACCACAGCTGTGTGAGTCTTCCCCCTTGACCTTAGACAATCTCTGAACTCCCCCAAGCCTTGTTTGCCGATCTTGAAACGTGAGCCATTGGCCTCTTGGAATTGTGAAGGAGGAAATACTGCAAATCACCTAACACAGCAAAGTTCTCCACGCAGCTCCAGCTTCTGGATTGACTCTGGCTACTTCCGAGTAGCTTTGAGACATTGAAGTGGAAAGATGAGTACCCCAAAAGATAACTAGCTCATCTTTCGATTTACAAGCTGCCTCAAGAAGAGGGTTGGGGAAACAGGTCCACGAAGGCTGATGGGAGCTCCTGGAGTTGCCAGAGATGGAACTGGAACTTGGAAACCCTGCTGCATTGCTCCGCTGGCCCCGTCCTAGGTGGCAGGTGAGCCAGTCCCCTGCATTTCTCAGCTGGCTTTAATCGGAGGTGGGGGGGAGAATAGGAAATGGCCTGGGCAGGGGTTCAGATATGAAAGTTGAAATAATCAAGAGGGAGGAACCAGTCAGAGGAGAAAAGGAACAGGATTTCGCTGGATGGTCAGTGCCCTCAGGTAATTCCTCCCCTGGGCTCCCAGAAGCAGCAAATGCCTATTAAGCCTAAGCCCTTGCTTGCACTCTGCCACGCGACTAGGAGCCCGACTGGATCGGTCACCAATCTGGGGTGAAGACAAGACAGCCCCCACAAGGTGCCCTGTTCCTCGCCGAGTCTCCTCTTTTCCTCTGTGCAGGCAGCCTTGTGGCCAACCCTAGCTGCGCTTGCCCTCCTGCTGGGCAGCCTCACAGAAGCCTCCCTGGACCCGATGTCCCGCAGCCTCCCCGCTCGCGATGGCCCCTCGCCGGTCCTGGCGCCCCCCACAGACCACCTGCCCGGTAGGTGAGAGCGCGACTGGGCGGGGCAGGGGCGAGGCCAGCCCTAGACATCACCACCACCACCACCCCGCCCCGCCGCCGCCCCCGAAAGTGACTAAGTCTCCTTCCAGGGGGACGCACTGCGCATCTGTGCAGCGAAAAAGCCCTGCGACCACCGCCGCAGTCTCCCCAGCCCGCACCCCCGCCGCCGGGTCCCGCGTTCCAGTCCCCTCCGGTTGCGCTTCGCGGGGCGCGCGCGGCGCGTGCAGGGACCCGGAGCAGCCGCGCTCGGGCCGCAGACGCGCGCGGCGGCTGCCGCCTGCGCTCGCAACTGGTGCCGGTGAGCGCCCTCGGCCTGGGTCACAGCTCCGACGAGCTGGTCCGCTTCCGCTTCTGCAGCGGCTCGTGCCGCCGAGCGCGCTCCCCTCACGACCTCAGCCTGGCCAGCCTGCTGGGCGCCGGGGCCCTGAGGTCGCCCCCCGGGTCCCGGCCCATCAGCCAACCCTGCTGCCGGCCCACTCGCTACGAAGCCGTCTCCTTCATGGACGTGAACAGCACCTGGAGGAGCGTAGACCACCTCTCCGCCACCGCCTGCGGCTGTCTGGGCTGAGGGTGATCTCCAAGCCTTTGCACTCTGGACCTTTAACCGTGTGTGGCCCTCCCTGGAACAGCCCCACCCCGGGCTGCGGAGCTCTGGCCCCAGGCTGGTGAGTGACAGACATCCAGCCTGCAGAGCTGGCCAAACCGCTGGGTTTGTTGGTAAGAGTCCCGAGGCGCTGATGGATCCCAGCTCTAACAGACACTAGAAACCTCAGCTAAAGAGAACTCCTCTGAAAGAATCCTGAAATTGCTCCGAGCCCTCAAGAATGAATTTTGGGGAGACACGTTGTAGTGGCGTTGCTGGAAGAGCCTGTGCTGAAGCCAGCCTTGTATCCACTTGTGGAAGCTGAAGCCCTATTTATTATTTCTAAATTATTTATTTACTTGGCTGGCTGGTCAGATCCTTTCCTGGACGTGGGGAATGGGTAGACGAGGCGGGATGAAGATGTGCCCCCACACACCTCTCGACTTCCGCATTTCACACTGACTCAGTAATCACGGTGTTGACCTGGATCCGGCTGCTTGTCCTTCAGGTGGCTCTGAGGTGGATGGGAGGCACAGAGAGGTGACAATCATGCCCAGTCCTCAGTACCCGGGGCCTGGGTTACCTGTGGGAAAATAAACTAAGTAGCTTTCCGTGGAGAAAGGCCACCCTGGCACCTTTGAGGGCCCTGCTTAGTGGGTAAAGGCAGAAAATCATGTTTTGCCCCGCTCAACCAGTGTCTTACCGAGCAAGGACCTGTCTTGAAGGCTCCCTGACAGGTACACATGCTGCTTCCACTTACAGGCAGTCAACCCGGGGCAAGAGAGCCTCTGAAGAAGGGCTGAGGGCGGGAGAGGGGCACCGGGTGCTGGTTCACGGGAAGCAAGTGCAGAGCTTCGTGAGGATAGGAAGACAGGCAAGCGCTGCGGGTCCCCAGAGAGTGCATTTGGGCTGATGAACAAGCCTACTCATTTATCCACCCAGTGAACACTGACAGCAACATGCCAGCGACTACGTGGATGAGGCCGGAGGCCCTTGCTTCCCAGCACCACGTAACCAAGGTGTATTGCCACATGCCTCTAATACCTGCGCTCAAGAGGTAGGGGGATCAGGAATTTAAGGGCATCCTCAGGGACATATTGAATCCCAGGCTAGCTTGAGCTACGTGACAGTCTGTCTCAGAAGAAAAAAAAAAAAAGATTCAGAAGTAAAAAGAACACAATCTCTATGCTCAAGCTCGAACCAGGAAAGACGGTCAATAAACAAGCAGTGACATGTGCTCATCCAAGTTCAGCGAGGCTAATGGAAAAACAACTGAAGCTAAGAGAGACACACTTTCTTCTGGAAGGAAAGCCAGTGCTGTCCTTGACCTCTCACTGTCCTCGGGCCCTCTCCAGGTCAATGAGATCATCTGAGCTTTTCTGTGTGGCCCTTGAAACTCTGTTTTAAAGCACATTTCAATGTGATGATGCACATTTGTGATCCAGCACTTGAGGCAGGGAGGCAGGAGGGTTAGTGCAGTATCATCCTCAGCTACACAGCAAGTTCCAGCCCATCGTGGCTGCATGACACTGTGGGAAAGAGACGGAAGGAAGGGAGGGGAAGAAGGGAGGGAGGAAGGGAGGGAGGGAGGGAGGGAGGAAGGAAGGAAGGAAGGAAGGAAGGAAGGAAGGAAGGAAGGGGAGGAAAACTTTCCCTGGTCCTAGGCATTTACATTGAGGAGACCGTGTGGGTTTTTTTCTTCTTTAAAACAAGACAGGACACGTGTGTGTGTGTGTGTGTGTGTGTGTGTGTGTGTGTGTGAATACACACGCATGTATGTGTGAGGTCGGAGGTCAACAGCCGTGTCTTCCTTCCTGGGTTGCTTTCTGCCTTAACTTTTGAGACACAGTCTCTCTTTGAACCTAAAGCTGGCAAATTTGTCTAGGTTGGCTGGCCAGAAGGCCCAGGGATCTTCCTGTTTCTACCTCTCCAGCCCCAAAATGACAGGCATGTAATATTTTAAATGTAATTTTGTTTTGTTTATCTTATTTTGTGCGCATGTGTGGGTGGACATGACACAGCACACCATCAGAGGTCAGGGAACACCTCATGGGGGTCAGCTCCCTCGTTCCATCATGGGGCCATGGGGATCAAACTGAGATCCTTAGCCTTGGTAACCAGCCTTTACCCACTGAGCCATCTTGCTCAGCCTCAGCCCTGGGCTTTATGTGGGTGGTGACGACCAAATTCAGATCCACATGTTTGTGGCACAAACACTTTATCAACTGACCAGTTAGTTCCCAAGCCTCCAAGATGAGGACTTTCGGAAAAGGTGCTATGTCTGAAGGATTGTGTTACAGCACAGGGGTTGTCGGGAGACATGCTTATCTGGAACAGAGGCCGGAAGCCTAGGGGGGATGGATTTGAGAGCTGTCAGCACTGAGGCCAAGGGTGTATGAGATCCCACAGACAAGATCAGCTTGAAGGTAGGATCCCAGCCATTTAGCGGTGTCTACTGAGTCCTTCCTTCCCAGCCGAGAGTCTGCCCGCTTTGCTGTAGGAGCCCTTCACCGAGGCTACAAAGAAGCACCAAGGGTATAGAGGACTGGGCATGCTCTAGGTCAGCTAGGCAAACCAAGCCTGTGCTCTCTTCTGTAGTCTCCACCCCAGTTCTGGATGCTCCCCCAAACTTCGGTAGGTTTGCACCCCAGACATGCCCTTGGCCCTTTTCTCTGCCTCCAAGCTGATCAGAATCCTTCAGTTTACACACATACACACACACACACACACACACACTCCCCAAAGAAAAGATTGTCAGAGAGCCTTACCATTCACAGGGGGCTGCTTGAAGGGGTTGGGAACATTCCTTCAATTCTAAGGTGATTTGGGCTAGAGAGAACACTGCTGAAACTTTGAGCCTAGTGTCAAAAGTCCTCAGTGGGACCCAGCTGTTCTGGGTCATGCATGAGAATGCTCGCAGTGAGAGGGCCAGATCCCAGCCCAGGCCAGGTGCTAGCTCTTGTTGCTTTCTTTTTTATTTTGTCTTCTTTTGGGGGGCGGGTGAGAGTTGCTTGTTTGCTTGCTTTTTGAGATAGGTTCTTACTCTAGCTCAGTCTTGCTTCATACTTGCAGCAGTCCCCCTGCTTCAGCATCCCCAAGCCTCACAGGCCTGGTCAGCCATGCCCAGCTAAGTGCTGGCTTTTTGACATGCCCCAAACTGCCAATCCTTGAGGGAATAGGGTCCACCTCCAACTAGAAGCTGCATTGCTCTGACAACGTGACATCTTCTCCAAGACAGATTCCTTCCCACAAGAACTCAGCAATCCTCTCCAGGTCCAACTACCGAGTCATTCTAGAAAAATGATGCTTTCTGGTCAAAGAAACAGCTGCCAGGCCCCACCTGATTACAAGCTAGCCAAGGTAAGAGAGTCATGTGACCAGCCGAGGCAGCACGCTGGAGCTCCTGGAAGAGCAAGGCACTCCGGTAGCTCCATTTCTGACACTGGTCTGTGTTTCACACTTACAAAACTACGCTTCCCATTGAATGGTCTTCCTGGAACCTACCAGCAGAGCCTCCTCCGAAAGTAGAAAGCAGAAATCTCTAAGCAGATTCGAAATGTGTTTTTGCTACCCCTTGGGAACACCTCAAACCTTCCTCTAGGTTCACTTCACCTGGGAAGTGTGGTTCTTGGTTCCACTCACTTCTCCACGCCCACAGTCACCTGCTCTGGCAGATGGCCCTTAGTGGTGGCTCTCTTAGCCAAGGAACCCTAACTTATCCCTGGCCATCGATAGCTGTGGGGTACTGTCTGGCGACTGCTGGGGTCCCCTCTTGAAAAGAAAGTGGGGAAAAAAAGACTCGAGACTTTGAGCCCCTTTTGTTGTTCTCAGAAGGGTCCTAAGTTACCTTGGAAGTAGAGCCTTCTGAGAAGACCAGTAAAAGCTTGGGCCTTCTCCCCAAGCCAAATGCCAGAAAGGTTTCTGGGATACCAATCTGGTCAGAAAGCTTAAGGTGTATGTGGGCTGCAGGGGACACCTTCCACAGCTCACCCCGAGGTCCCATGGAGTCCTCGGCCCCATGTGATGCCGTATTCTGGGTACCTGGGGTAGCTAGATTGATTCCTTTGAGTGTACCTGGGCTCCGATATCAGGGCTTTCTCAGATATTTACAACACACTCCACGCTTAGCCTTTCTCCACTGCATGTCTCCTCCTCTGTATTTTATATACTGACTGGAATAGAATCACATAAAAGAGAACTGATGTTGGGGCTATGGAGGATAGGGGTAGGGCTGGTCTGACCTTCCTTCTCTAAAAGAGACTTTCCTGAGGTCTCTGGACCTTGATGGCCACTTTCTAGAAAACCTACCTTGGCCTTCTGGATCGCACACCCTGCATTTCCTCTCACTACTCCAGCTGCTCCTTCTGACTATGTCTGGGTTCCTCTTCCTCTCTCTGCATTTTCTGTGGCCTTAGCGCTCTGAAACCGGACATCCCCCCCCCCCACAACATTATCTACTCTCAGGGTTTCAGTCCCCACCTCTATTAGGTGCTCACATGTTATCTTGATCCTAGACCCTTCTGAGCCCTAAGCCTGCGATCTAATGCTTAGCCATGTATCTTCAAGATCTGCATACCTTCCTGCTGCCTTCTGCCCTTCAGCTCTGCTCCCCACCTTGTGCCCCTGTGTGCTTCCCACTGATAACCTTCTCTGCTTTCCAGCTTACCAGCTGCTCCAGTCCCCTCCTCAGCAACCTCTACCTGATGGCACAAGACAGGGCACCATCCTAGACTGGCCCTGAAACAACAATTCCTGCTTCTGTTGGCTGTCTCCTAAAGCTAAAGGTCTATTGCTGAAGACGCCATGCACTTTGGCTTGTGGGACATAGAGAAATGGAGCTTCCGCCCTGCTGGCTAGTCCCAAGCAGTTCTTTGCAGGCTGCTGGAAGAGAATTGTCATCAACAGTCTTCTTGGTGGTGAGCACCACAGGGCTGCACTACTGACCTGCCAGGCAAGATGTCCCTAGTGGTGAAATAGTGGCAGGTCTGCTGGTGGGGTAACCACTT